CTGGGCGGTGTCCTGTTGTGGTGGCATCTCCTCAGGCGCGCTGTTGTCTGGAATCGGCCTTGCCGGCGCCGCAGGTGCTGAAGCCGGAGCACCAAGGTCTGCCGGGAGGGCCGGTAACGCAAGTGCTGGATCTGCTGTGGCACGATCTGCACCAATGAAGCGGAACTCGGCGATGACGTCAGCCGGGCCTCGGCGCGCTGGGCAGCGCACCAGGTGGGTGTCGGTGTTCTGCACAAGCTGTAGGTCGCATGCCTGGTGCATGATGCGGCGGCGCTGTAGGCGTGCAACTCGATCACCATGTGCGAAGGCCTCGATGCAGATAGGACATTCCCGGTCGTCACCGTTAGAGACTGTGACGCGGGGTGCAGCTGGTGCTGCATCCGGCGCATGAGGTGAGTTCGTTTAAGGGTTTCGGTGAAACTCTGTGCGGCTCGTCGTCGCTGCTCGTCGTGTTGTCGTAAGAGCTCAGCTGGTAGCTGGGTGCTGTGGAGCTCGGGGGGCGTCGTCGCTGTGCGTGGTCGAGTGTGGAGCCGATTCCGCGTTCGGATCGCGCGCCGCTGGGCACCCAGGTGCCGCGGCCAGCGAACCACATGGCCACTCTCCCAGAGGGCTAGCCAGCTCACGTCAATGGCGGCGCGCTGGTTATTGAAGAGAGCCAGATCGTTGGGAGACCCCGGTACCGGATGCGACGCAGATGCTGGTGCGAACTGGCGTGCTAGTGTCGAGTACTGAGACCGAAGGAACGCATGCCCTACTCGGAAACTGCACATCGGCAGGTGGGGTAGCTGGCGCAGCGGCTTGGGCACTGATGTCGCATGCCCAGTCGCGCCCTGTGGCCCCAGTGGGAATGCACCGGCCACTCCGGCCCAGCGCTGTGGTGTCGGTGATGGTGGTGCTGCGGATGCTGCTGGTGCCATTGGCGCCGCGGTTGTTGCGTTCCCCACTCCTGCCGCGCGCACTTGCAACAGACTTGGGCTATCCGTCGAGCGAGCAGAGTCCTGTCGCACGCGGTCCACGACGTCTCCCACCTCCTCGCGAAGTCGTCGAAGCTCGGCCCCATGAGGGTTGGGCGAAGCCCGTGAGGGCGATGAAGTGCCCGCCCAGCTCGACCAGTTGCTCTGGCAAGCGGCATGCCAGGATCCGTCGGACGACGCACTGGGAGCTGCTGCTTCTGGTGCTGGCCGCGTAGTCGCCGAAATTGGAGTCGTCCGGCCGCCCGCCCAGGGGTCGGCTCTCTGCGTGGGGTCACCAATATCGGTCCCGGAACCAAAGGTTTGGGCGTCTCGTCAGACCCAGTAGACATCTGGTGCTGGTGGTTGAGCGGCTGGTCCAGGCGCTCCGCGTTGTCCCAGGTGCCTATAAGTGGTGAGGATGCTTGCGTCGGTGGTGGTGGTGCTGCTGTGGTTGGGGCGTCGAGGAAGAGGGCGCGCTCTTGCTGGCGTCGGCGGGGGCAGTCGCGCGCGAGGTGCTGCTCTAAGTCGCGCCCAGTGCGCTTGAGACGTGTCCCGTCTGGGCCCACTGGCTTGCCCCGTCGGCCGAATCCCTGTCGACTGGCCCGAAGCTTGCCCATTCCGTCGCCCCTGCCTTGCCCGGAACCGGCGAAGATATCGCGGGGGTCGGTGTGGGACAAGTCGGCCAGGAAGGCGCGGTGGCCTTTTCCGCGGCCTGTGCCCTGGCGATGACTCTGCGCGCGCGGCGCATGGGCTTGATGTTATTGAAGCGGCGCCATCGGGGCTGGGCGCGCTCGCGGGCCCAAAAGAAGCGCGCGCCGCGCTGCCCCGTATGAACGCCGCGCAGTTCGGGGTCGTTGGCGGCGATTTCTTCGCCGAGTGATCCGATGGTGTCGGAGTCGGTGCCGGGGTCGACGCCTGTTGCGCCGGCGTAGGCGGCAGCTGGCGTTGCCGGCAGACACGACGCCGCCCCAGAGGGTGACGGGCCCATGCCATCCCAGCTCGATCCGGCCCCAGTGCCGCGAGCGCTCTGATGTTGCGGGGCTGCAGGGCCATGGTGAGCTGGATGTGCGCCGCGCCCGCCGCGCGAAGCAAGACGTCGCTCGGGCACTCGTAGCCGATCGTGAATTGGCCGGCCTGCTGCGCCCTGCATCGGGGGATGTCGAACCCGGCGAGGAGGTCGGCAATCGGCTGAAGTTCATCAGGGCTGGCACCGCCTGCGCGCGCTCCTCCTCCCTGGGCCGGCCCAGCCGGTCGGCTGAGCTGTGCGTGAGCGAGATCATTAGCGGAACTGGGCGCCGGTGATATGGCCAACTTGGACGAGAACAACTGGCGGCCATTCGCCTGCGCACTCGCGAGCCATGCCAGTCAAGCGAGACGAAATGTAAGCAGCTTGGCGAAACTCATTGAGGTCTGAGTTCGCCACTGATCATATCATCGCCTCCTGCACCCAGCGTTGGAAAGGCGCGCCAGCTTGCTGCTCGGGCCCTCAAGTGCGGAGGCGTCGCATGTTGCCGCCGCCGCCACCTGCGTCATTGCAGGCGATGCAGCTGATGGCAGCGACCATGTCCACTTCGATGGCCTTCCATCCAGAGTGGGGCCTTCTCCAGGTGCCGAGGAGGCGTGACAGTCACGGTGTGCACCAATGGCGGTGTTCCGGTAGTGATCCTCGAAGCCGTAGTGGGTCTCTGTCCCTTGTGTGCTCCTCCTCATCAGCACATTGGGTCTTCTCTCGGTCGCGCGATTGGCGTGCGGACTGCACTCGGAACACCCCGCCACATAGTGGAGAGAGAGAGAGAGAGAGAGCTCGTCGCGCGTTGTATTGTCAATCTACTGCGCAGTGCCAACTGTGCGATAATCAAGAAGAGTACGCACAGGGATCCAGGTCTGCCAAGAAACACGGAGCGTGTAGTTGACATTGAAGGTCTTGCCCCGGTGAGCCGATAGCCAAGCTTGTGTAACGGCCCCCCGGAGGATGGCAACGCAGTTGCCCTTCTTTGTGCTCCCGCTCTTGTCTGCGCGCGCCTCCCCCGGCTTCCACAGCGCCGTTGCGGAAAACTCGGAGCGCTTTGCCGACGCCGACGATGTGAGCGCCTGATCGACCGACTGCTCGACATAGTCGGCTGCACCCACATGCGGATGCAATGAGGGCGGTGCGTCCTGTTCCTCTTCCCCTCGTGCTTCCGCAACACAGCTGCGAATAGCTCGAGTCCCTGCGCCGTCGCCGTGAGCGTAGAAATCGGATCGTTCGACGGTCTGGCGCTGACTGTGGCACTCACAAGCGAATGCTGTGACGACGCGGGGCTCCCGCGCATCTCGAACACAATTCAAAAGTGCCCAGGGGGGGAGGCCACGGCGCAGGGCGCGCTGTCGTTCTCTTAGGTGTACTTGTAGTGGTAGTCGTGCTGCGTCCCCTGCACTGTTCCTGGCGGCGGGGCCTGGGGGGCCCCGACTGCCCCTAGAGGCGAATCGCCTGCCGCAGCGAGATGGACGAGAAGCACGAATGTGGAGCGAATGCATGTTCCACGTGGTTGTAGAGAGGGTCGACGTAGAAGTCGATGTACAACGGTCGTCGCCGGCGCGGAGGGAAGCCTCGCAGGCCATGACGGCGGGCGTGGTAGAGGAGCAATGCGTTCCGCTCCCAACTAGAATGCGGAAACGCAAACATACTACTTTCCGACCCCTGATGAAAAAGCAGAAGTGCGTAGCGTGTATTATAGCAGGCGCGGGTAGGTACTTTGAGCCAACATGGCAACAAGGGGGACAGCTTTTCCGCACCCACTCCTCACTGATAAGCGACCGTTCGAATCGGAGCAGGAAGAGGAGGAGGAGGAGGAGGAGGAGGAGGAGGAGGAGGAGGAGGAGGAGGAGGAGGAGGAGGAGGAGGAGGAGGAGGGAGGAGGAGGAGAGGATGAGGATGAGGATGAGGAGGAGGAGAGGAGGAGGAGGAGGAGGGGGAGGGGGGGGGGGGAGGAGGAGAGGAGGAGGAGGAGGAGGAGGAGGAGGAGGAGGAGGAGGAGGAGGAGGAGGAGGAGGAGGGAGGAGGAGGAGGAGGAGGAGGAGGAGGAGGAGGAGGAGGAGGAACAAGACGAAGGTGGAGAAGGGAAGCGAAGGGAGGCGCAGGTTCTCGCACGCATCGGGCCTCTGTGGCTCGATTCGGAGCCTCGGTAGGCGCGCTGGGGGCCTGTGACTTCTGCGGGTGCGTTTCGGGGGAGCCTCTGAGGGGGGAGCGGTCGGGGCCTCTGCGGGCGGCGTCGCGGGCCCTTGGTAGTCAGCGGGGACCTCTGCGAGGCCTCTCTGGGCGCGCCGGGGAGCGCCTGCGGGCAGCGCTGGGGGCCCTCCGCGGGCAGGCGCACATGGTTCCAATGTAAACTGGTCCAGTGGGGAGCGATGTGGGGCCCCTGTGGGCGCTCTCGGGGCCGCTGCGGTTTTTCTCCAACGCCGAAGTGTGGGGTCTCTGAATGCGCGCTCGGGGCCTCTTCGGGTTTCCTCCAGGCCTTAGTGCGCTGCGTTGAGGGGCACCGTGGTGGGGTCTTTACAGGCGCGCTTGGAGCCTCTGTGGGTTGTGTCCAGGCCCTCAGTCGGCAGCATTGTGCAAGCTTGTTCGGTGGGGTGTGTGGTGGGGCCTTTGTGGGCGCTCTCAGGGCCTCTGTGGGTTGCCCCCAGGGCGTCAGTGTGCAGCGTGGTGGGGCCCATGCATGCGCGATTGGAGCCTCTGTGGGCTGTGGCCAGGGCCTCGGTTGGCAGCGTTGTGTATGCTGGTTCAGTGGGGAGCGTGGTGGGGCCTTTGAGGGCACGCTCGGGGCCTCTGTGGGTCTCCTCCAGAGCCTCAGTGGGAGGTATGGTGGGGCCTCTGAGGTTGCGCTCGGGGTCTCATTGGGCTTCCTGCAGGGCCTCAGTAGGAGGCATGGTGGAGCCTCAGAGGGTGCGCTCGGGGCCTCTTAGGGCTTTCTCCAGGGCCTCAGTAGGCAGCGCGGGGGGGCTCCTGTGGGCGCCCTCTCGGCCGCGCTTGGGACCTCTCGGGCTGTGCCCGGGCACACGTCGAGTGGCTTGTGATGTCGGCGCCTGTGGCACACGAGGCGGCGGGGCTCGGCCCCGGCATGGGGAAGAGCGAGGAAGAGCTGCTCCTGCTCCGTGCGCCCTGCTTGCTCCCCCCCCTCCCCGTGTGCTCTCCCTCCTGCAGCCTTGCCGCCGCGTGCTCCCGTCTCAGCGGCGGCAGCGCTGGCCAGCCGAGCTTGAGCGGCTCAGCCCGAAGTCTTCTTGGCCTCGAGACCACGCGTGAGGGTCAGCAGGTCGAAGTTCCTGGCTGGCCCCTTGAGCTGGGCGATGCCTCGGATCAGCTCTTCCTCGCTGATCACGCCGTGCACCGAGCCCGCGATGAGAACGAACAGCGTGTCCACGTCGTCGCAGCGCAGCTCCATGGCCTCCAGCCAAGCCTTGATCGCGGGCTTTTCGAAGACGCGGCGGAACTCCTCGCGGTCGAGCACCCCGTCTTTGTTCTTGTCCGCGAGCTGGAACAGACGTCTCATGCGGTCTTTGTGCTGGAGGACCTGCCGCATCCTGCTCCTGATCATGATGAACTCGTCGCCCTCGGCCACCGAGAAGGTCTCCCTGATGAACACGCCGTTGATCACACCGACCACGGCAAGGCCGATTGACAACTTCCACACGACGCAGATGGGCCCGAAACACTCATGGAGTTCCTCGACCATGAACCGCGTGACCGTGGGCCAATTCGCCAGGGTGAGCTCGAACATCGAGAGCATCGACCTGGAGAAAGTCCCGAAGTACCGGAAGAGCTCCTGCTGCTTCTCGGGTTCCAGGGGGGAGCTCTCCCCCAGGTACGCGGCCCGTAGAACTTTCGTGGCCACCATCGCGAAGAATGTCAGAATCGTGACCAGTAGCATGCTGGAGAACATCAGAGCGCCCATGCTTCCTTTGATGGCCGTCGTCATGAGGTGCAGGGTGTCGAACTGGTAGATCTTCCTCAATAGCCGGATCAGCCGCAGGAGCCTGGCCAGACGCAAGATGCGGAACACCTGCATGCTGCCCGCCGTGTCCATCTCGCCAATCGCCAACGACACGTCGGAACATACAACGACGGCCAAGTCCAACAGGTCCAGCGGGTCTTTCCAGAATGGCGTCCGGTGGGTAGGCCAGGCGGCACGCGCGCACGTGAGGTCATACCCGCACGTGATGAGCATCTCCAGAGTGAAGACCCCCGCGAAAAGGCACTCCGCGATGTAGAACGCACCGTCGGCTCTAGGCCACCACTTGCCAGCATACTCCTTTGAGCCATACTGAGCGTAGATGCCCCCAAGCTCGTAGCCGAGCTGGATGCCCTTGTACTCCACCTCCAGGATCAGCACGATCAGGTTGCAGATGATGAGGAGCGCCGAGGCCAACTCATACTGCGGCTTGCTCATCAGCCATCGCAGCGAGTAGAACGCCCTTGGTGGTTTGTCCTCCTTCGTGTGATCCACCTTTGAGAGTATGGGCTTTTGTTTGCTTGAGCTTCGGAGCTGGTCGATGACGCGCTCGTCCCTGTCCCAGCTGCTGTGGCCGACGACGCTGGCGTGGCTGCTGCAGAGGCCTACGCTCATGTACCCGTCCGCGCTGGGGGCCGACGACAGGATCCTATCGATCTGGTCGTCGGAGTTCTCGACCGGCAACTTGTATCCCGTTGCCGACAGCTCGCGGGAGTTGCTCACCGAGGGCGCCCTGCCCACGCACACGCCCAGAGACCTCGAGCCGAGCTCCTCCC